TATATGGAAGCATACGTAAGACATGTAGGATTGTGTGCACAGGAGAAGGACAATATATAGAACCATACGTACGTCGTCCAAGGCGCCTCGGAAGGCGCCTCGGAAAGCGCAGAATACTCCTTCACGGCGCGGGATCATGTTCCCAGACCGCCTTCCAGGAACATGACGGGGTCGACCTCCTGAGGGCCTCCAGTGGGCCTCTTGGGGGCCTCTCGGAGGCCTGTTGGGCTCTCCTGGAGGCGTCTTGGGGCGTGTATATATATATATGTATGTATATATGTATATATATAAATATATCAAGGAAGAAATTGAAATACGTGGAAGGAAGTGGCACGACTCGGGAGGGCTTGGAGGAGGGGTATGTGTATATATATATAGACCCATACGTAGGACATGTAGGATTGTGTGCACAGGAATAGGACAATCTATAGAAACATAGGTACGTCGTCAAAGGCTCCTCGGAAGGCGCCTCGGAAAGCGCAGAATACCCCTCCAAGGCGCGGAATCATGTTGCCGGACCGCCTTCCAGGAACATGACGGGAACGACCTTCTGAGGGCCTCCAGTGGGCCTCTTGGGGGCCTCTCGTAGGCCTGTGGGGCTCTCCTGGAGGCGTCTTGGGGCGCGCTCAGGGCAATTTTTGGGCATCTTGGGGGCTTCTGGGGGCCTTCGGGGAGGCTATTGGGGGCCTCTTTGGGGCCTCTTGGGGCCCTCTTGGGGACCGCTGGGCTCGCTTAGGCAGTCTTGAAGCTCTGTCGGGGCACTCCTGGAACCGTCTTGGGCGGCTCCTGGGCCATCTTGGGGCTCTCCTGGGCCGTCTTGGGACGATTTTGGGGGTCTCTTGGGCCGTCTTGGGGCGGTCTTGGGGGCCTCTTCGGCCGTCTTGAAGCGGTTTTGGGAGACTCTTGGGCGGCCTTGGAGCGTCGGAACCTCGAAAAAGCGAGAAGGCCAAACACCTCGAAAAGAACGATACAAATCAACGATTTTCGCTTGTCGGGGCTCTCTTGGGAGGCCTCTTGGGATGCCTTCGGGGCCTCATGGAGCTCTCTTGGAACGTCTTCGGGCCTTCCTGGCCATTCCTGAGGCTATCTATGCGCGTCTTGGAGCGCTCGCGGGCCGTCTTCGGCGGTCTCGAACTGTTCCTGGCGGTCCCAGGGGCCCTCCGGGACGCTTCGGACGCTCCCGGGGGCGCCCTGCACACCCCATGGAGATGACAGGCACCGCCCCGGGGCCCTACTCCGATATGTGTGTATATATATATATATATATATATATATACACATACATACATACATACACACACATATATATATATATATATATATATATATGTGTGTGTGTGTGTGTGTGTCAGCATGTGGTGCGGCGAATGCACGACATACCATATATTGTCCCACATACCCTTGCCCAACATGTATGGCTAAGACACACTGTTTGGAGGTTGTGTATGGAGCCGCTTTGAGACAACTGAGGGGGGCCACGGAGGCAGTACCCATCGCCCTGAAGAAATGGGCAGACACATCAGGCAGGAACGCGTCGGGACCATATTGGGATCTCGCCATCCCCCCGAAGAGGAAGGACGAACGATCGCCGTCCAATCCCTGACGCTGTAAGGCGCCTGAAGCAGATGGGAACATGTGAATCCAAGTATACCCAGTTTCAGAGAACGGTGCATTCTGGGACATGGGGAGGCCGCCTAATCTGTGCAAGCGAAGGACGCGCAAACCGCATCCTCGCGTCGCTCGGAAGCGGGTGTTCCATCCTCGCCCTGCGCGCCGCTGCACGAACCGACCAACGTCGCTCGCGCCTGACGCCAATCGAGCGCTCGCTCCGCAGAGGGGGCGGTGGAGAGAGCAACTGGGGGGACCCAGACATCCGACGTCAGAATTGCTCCACGACGTAATTTGCACCCCCGAAGGATCAATTATTCACCCTGGCCCGCTTACCGACGGCCCCGGGAACGGAGGCCAAAAATGGCTCTCAACACCTTCCGTCATTGTTCATCATTTCACGCGAGCAGATCTGACGGGAGCGGAACAAAACGGACCCTGACCTCCCACAGTGTGATGCGTTTACATGCGCAACCCTAGGCAAGACGCAAGACGGCCCGATTCCCTCCCAGGAAGATTTGCTTCGTCACGGGTCCATCGTTGATGGCCCTGCGACCCGATAAAGGGCCCCAGGGGCCGAAATCGAGCAACAACCCCAGGATCGAAAAAAACACATCGTCGAATATCTGGAGGGGAGACGGCATGGGATGGAAGGGAAGTGCCCGACGCGCGCTCTTTCTTCACCAGCGGCACGTGCGCTGCTCTTTCTCTTATTATTCTTATCCTTCTTCTTCGAAGCAAGGAGGATAGGCGGCGCTGATTCGCGCTCATCGGGGCGCCAGCATACTTCCCCTCTTCCCCTTTTGTCTCGTCGTCCTCCTCGTGTCCTTCCTGTTTTTTCCTCCGCCCTCCACCTCCTCCTGTCTGCGCGTTATGCGATCTCAAAACTGGGTTGAATGAGACCCACCCTAAGGCAAACAAAAATGAGGCCACTGATCTGACAACCGGAATCCCGTGTATCCATCCCACCGCTGCGTTCCCAAACAAACCTCACTGATGCGGATCCAACGGCCCCGGAATGGCCATCTGATCAACGAGTTCCGCGTCCACTGCAACCGGCCAATTGCAAGAACAACACATAACGCTCTCGCAACATGCGTGTGCACGCGCGCGGGGAGCTGCAAAACGAGCTGTAAAACGTCAGCGTCAATCACATGTGCGTGATACCCGTTGCACCTCCACCCCCGCCCCTTCGGACAAATTTCCCTCAACGTCGGGGCGTGGGCGGAGATGGCGACGAAAGCCTGCCACGCGACAGCGCCTGATATCGCAAGGGCATCGCATTGCGCGAGTTTCCCCTGGGGATGGGCGCGCAGACAGTCACCGAAGGCAAGAGCACAAATTGGGATGCGTGGCTCGCTTCTTCTGGAGCGATAGCGATCCATGACTGTCCAGTGGCGAGCGAAGTGGCAGCAAGGGTGGGCGCGGTGCGGATGAGGGCGTTATGTCTATCGTTGTCTCGACGGTCCGTCAATCCAACGGCAGGATTTCCCCACGCGCGGGAACGCAGGTGTCCACGGTCCCTCTTGCGCCGGGCAGGCAAGGGCGGGAGGACACAACAAAACGCCAGCGAGCCCCCCCGTCAAGATCTCGTCATTCCAGAACCCACCCTCATGTCGGACATGCTCAAAAGAACGGCGCGCAACTTGACGCTGCGAGTTGCGCCTGCACAAATCAGTGCCCATGCGTTGCTGGGAATCGTCCTGCGCTCTATCTCCCGAAACGACGGAGAAAAACAGCTGTCCTTTGGCCGGCGGCAAGAACTGCACTTGGCGCTGCACTTTGATGGGTCCCGACCGAAGGAGCTGATGCGATCTGGTCGGCGAGAGAATGGACCTTGCTCGCTGCGTTCCCAAACGACGCGCCCATGCCTGCCCACCCCCTTCCCGCTGTCACGTTGGACCCCCATGCTCTCAACAGTCCACCGCTCGAGTTCCCCGCGGGGGGGGGGGGGGGGCTGCCCAAGTTAGCCCGCGCGCTGCAACATGCGACCTGCTGCTTCAGATGCTTTACGACGCCTCCCGCGCGCGTGGGAACGGGCCGTGCAAATTTGACAACGGGGGCCCGTGGCCCACCTGTCGGGGCCCCGGGGGGACTCATGGCATTTGTCATTTGCGCTGCGAGCAGCGAGCCATCTGGAGAACAAGAGAAGGCGACAAACCGCACTCATAGCACGCGAAAGGCGCAATATTCACGCGTCTCTGACCCCCGGCCCTGGCGTCAAGGAAACGAATCCAATTGGCTTCTGCATCTTCCTGCAAGGCACGTACCACCTGAAATTGGGTCTGGCAAACGAGACCTCGCTCGGCAGCCCCCACGGCAGTGGTGCGACTCTACCGCGGCACCACTCAGGCAAGGGCAATCCACGGGCCCGTGGCTCCGATGCCAGGAGCATGAAGCCCGTCGGCGCGCTGCCGCATCCAGCCCAGAACCCCGCGGGGGGCCTCGACCCAAGACCCGCGAAAGCCCCGCGCGCAACCCGGGCAGCGCGCAGTCCCGCCGGGGCCGAACGCAGCACTCGAAGTAAATATCTCAGTCTGGCGACTGCCGTGACAGCATGATAAGTCAAGCGGCTAGCCTTAGCAAGACTGCGGGAGTTGGAGGCGGCGCCAGCAGCGCCATCGGCTAGCGGCGCGCTTAAGGCGGCACGAGAGATCGCGGAAGCTTGTCCGGCGTTCACGCGCGGGCGCACGACTTCCGGGATGCAAATGTTAAGCTCCGAGAGATGCACGCCATGGGCCGCGCCATCCAAACTCGGTTGGCCATCGGGGGCCTTGGCCGCGGACAAGGAAAGCCTCGGGCATCTGGACTGACTGGGGGGGCACCGAGCAAGGCCTCTGCCTCCCCAGGGGGCCCGGCGACGCACTGTCTGACGGAGCTGAGCTCCAGAAAAGGAAAAAAAAAAAAAAACGACGGAGTAGACTTTAGCCGTCGTCTGCGCCGAGAAGCGCGAGCGATCAGAATTCGCGGCCACTGCGGCGCCTGAAACATCCGCGCTGTGTGTCGCGCTCGCAACTTGGCATGGCCTTCCGCGCTCTACTGCGGACGAACGCGCGATGCATCTTGCTGGCGGAACAACCTAGGGGAAGGCGTCTGTGGGCACTGGCCTCGGACAGATCCCCATTCCCAGATAAAACCTGGCGACCAAACCTTCCCCCATGCTGCGGGGAACTCCCCCCCGTAAGAGCCGCTTTCATCAAAACAGGATGGCAGGCGCGAGCAAGGGCTTCAGGCGCGATGAAGAACATATCGTTGCCGATACCATTAGGCCCCTCCGCAATGCCAGTGCTCACACTAGCGGAGAGCCCCTCGACGGGTATGATTTTGCGGGCGGAAGGGGCAGTGGCGATGCTCAAGTCAGTGCCTCTCTGATTGCCTTTAACATCGATGTCCTGCTTCGTTCGGGGCATGGTAAGCTCTGCCGACATCTGCGGAATGTAACGGCAGATCGTCGGCGCCTTCCCGAGGAACGATGAGCGGTCCGCCCTCGGGCGATGTGCGAGGGGGGGGGGGGGGGGGGGGGGGGGGGGGGGGGGGAGCGGCTTCCGGCGGCGCTCGCCGCCGCGGGCAAGGCGCCGCGCCTGGCGAGGGGCGTTCGCCGCGACGCCGCCAGTGGCCCGCCCGGCACGCTTCGCAAGACAATCTCTGCATTCCCGCTCCAGGGCCCTCCGAAATACAACGCTAAAAAGCTCCCATGTAGGGCGAGCCAACTCAATGTCCCACTCCTCCGACGGGGAACGCATCCAGGTAAAGGTGGAAACTGCAATGTCGAGGCGATTTTTCACGGCGGCAAGTGCGCCGCAAAACGGGGGGCTCTGGATCCGCGCCCCGTTCGCGCGCTGATTGGGTTCACCTTTGCGGACAGAGGCCGCTCTGGACAGATTGCGACCGACGTGTTGTTTGCATGTCCCCCTTTTCCCCGCCGAGGTTCAAAGCCTTCGCCGCAGTCCGCCTGGCTCGTATGAACCAGAGGGCGCGTTATTCGACGCGGTGACCCCCCGGGCCTGATCGGCCCCGCCGCGTCGACACCGGGCAGTTGAACGCGCGCAACCAAGCTCCGCGGCCGAAGCCCGACGTCGCTGACGCGAGGCGCGAAGCGCCCCTTATGCTCAGCTGTCTCCATATGTTGCTGACCCAGCGTCGGCGCAGCTGCATGGGGCCCGGGTGGGCTGCTTTGCCCATGAAAGCTTCCGCGCTAGAAAATGATGGCCAGCCCCACGAATGAGGTCGACCTCCTGGTCGACGGAAACACCCTGGCATGGCCCAGGAGATTTCGCTGTCAGCGGCAAGGGAACCGACGCGATGTCTGGGGCCCATCGCATCGGGCAACGACGCGTAGCCACTACCACTGCAAAGAACAGCGCTGACAGCTCTGAACTTGACACCATCGAGCCATTCCGCCACGCGTTGCAGCCCCCAGTCGCACCCCGGCCCGCGGCGACGCCCCGCGACGCTTGAAACCCGCCCCCCTTGAAGATGGCAGTTGCCGTCCTCGAAGCAAAAAGTCGGGCGGCCACTTCTCTCAGACGCTGCGCGTGCCATCCCAGAACTGGGCTTTCTCACTTGGGGCGTCGCAGGCGCGCGGCGCATGGGCAACAATACCGTTGGCGTTGACGGCCGCGGCGTCAATGCGACGCGCCAGGATGCGGGGCGGAAGCCGCGCCGCCCTGATCTGCTGCGCTGCGCAGCGACGGGCGCATCCATGTGGCGGGCGGGCGTTGACCCAGGGCTCGGCACTTCACGAGAAGTCCGGACGGCCAGGGAAGATGCAACCCAACTCCCCGACCCTCATCCCCTGCTCGCGCCCCCCTTCATGCGCCCCCATGTCATGTGCAACTTGTCTGCAAACTTGAAACGTCAGTGACACGGCCCGCCCGGCACGACCTCTGCCCCGCCTGCCGCGGCGACGCACGGCGCGAAATGATCGGGCATTCCAAACGAGCATTTCGAAATCCAGCAGGCAGATTAGTCTCCCGTTCGGCGCCCAGGGCTTTGCCCTGCTCCGAGATGCGCGCCAACCCCCAAATCGTTGCACCCCCCTTTTCGTTAAAGCAAACCAAGATAAGCGCGGGCATGCCAGTCGCCGTCCATGGCCGATTCCCGCAACCTGGCAGTCCCGCAGCAGACGGCCTGGACGCGGGCCCGCGGAAATTCTGGGGCAAGCGGCCCGAACGACCGCGAAAAAAGATTCGCCGCGTTGTCGGTGGGGGCATGCTAGGAATGGCCGCTGCGGGCCTTCGCGCGGCCCAGGTCGAGTTTGCCTCCCGCCCTGGCAAAGCCTCGGGTGACCTGGGCAAGTTGGGCACGGAACGCATCCGAAGGGGAGCCAGAACGGGCTCGGCCCCTGGCCCAGCATACCTCGCCCGGGGCAACGGCATCGGAAATGAGGGCCCTTTCGGGCTCACCCGGGCGCACAGGCACCCCCCGCCGCCGACTGTATCGCCTTATCCGATTGTTGCTGACGCTGCCCTGCATTCCTCGTCAATGGTTTCGGTCGCTGCGAGTCTGCGAGCTCGTCCTTTGCGGTGGACTCCTTTGGCGCGACTCTGGTCGAGCACGGGCCGTCCTGCGCGTTGAACGCGGGCAGAGTCGCGCCGATCGGGCGGTGGATCTGCGGCGGTGAGATCCCCGCGTTTGAAGAGACGGGCGCCTCAGGAACTGCATCTTTCAGCGGTGAGCCGCGCTGGAGGATGGGCGTGACCAAATTCTCGAGCCTTCGGGCGCGGGCTGCACTGCGGGAAGAGTCGACGGCATCGGCGTCGCAACCCTCTGTCGGCAGCCCACCAACCGGCGTCGTGGGTGTTCGTCCGCAAGATGGAATAGTTGTCCCTGCCCCAGTTCCCGGTGGCGCTGGGGGGGCCCCGTGGCCGCTGCAGTAAGCCCCCGTAGGTGTCGCCGTAGCCGACTGGTGCATCAAGGTTGTCTTGGCGCCCATGAGCTGTTCCTGCACCCGCTGCCTCTGAGCCAAGAGACTGGGACAAGAAATCACCCAATAGAAATGTACATGCTGATGTGGTTGGGGATGCGCCTGCCGTCGCATCCGTGGGGCCTGCGCTAGCGGGTCCACTGTCGTACGGGCTCGCGCTGTGCATTGGGCGAGGAGAAGAGCGTGGGCCGCTTCATCCAGAAATACTGATGCCGCTGTTGCTGTGACTGCTGTTGTTGCGGCAGCTGTGGCTGCCCATGCTAGGCCCTGGGCAGGCGTACGGCCGCTGCCGTTGCCACCTGTGCCTCCTGTTTTTCGTCCTGCATCTCGTCTAACTCGTTGGCGCACGCTTCTGCCCAGGCAATCCGTATAACCTCATGCCCGTGAGAATAAACACTAGGGGATAATAAAGTTCGGGGTTCAGGGAGAGATAATAAAAGTAGACCAGCAGACCTCAACATAATCTCGAAGTAAGAGATGATCAAGAGGAGACCAAGCCGAGCACGTTTTGAGACATCCTTGGCGTTTAGTTTTCATAGAAATATCCTCAACAATGGCTTATCTCTCATGAAAATTGTTTTTGTTTGTAAGTGCTCGCGTAGGGTAGCTCATGTGCCTCAGTTTCCATGGATAACCAACCCCAGAGATAAAAAAAGTTCAGGCGAGCGTGGGGACAGAGATAAATATAACATAAGAAGAATACAATATAATAATAATACGAAAGAAGAAGAGGATAATAAGAAGAGGACGAAGAAAGGAAACATCCAAAGTTACAAATCTATCAATTTTAATGTACAAATGCTTTATGAAAATTGTTTGTTTTAAGTGCTCGTGTAGGGTAGCTCACGTGCTTCATTTTCCATGGATAATCAACCCCAGGGATACAAAAGTTCAGGCGAGTGTGATCGCTTCGCTTGATGTTGCTATGTCAACATCGCTTGATGTTGCTATCTCAACATAGCGTTTCGAGGTGATAATGAAGTTCGGCCTCAGCGCTCGCCGCCCAATTTGAATTTTGTATAGGGCGACGATAATCAACTCTAAACACTGAAGGGGGGTCCCTTTATTATCATCGGCATGCGGCTATGCATCTCCCGCTCTTTAGTGACGAGGTCCCTCATCCTGCTCTGGATCCCCGACAACTGGCCCCTCGCTTTCTCGAAACTCCAGTTGACATTCGTCTTCTGATCTTTGCCTGGTAGAAAAGAAACCAGCGACCTCTTGAGTACCATCAGCTGCGTGTCGCGCTTATCTGCGACCTTGGTCTTCTTGGCCTTTGGGCAAAAATGGCCATGATGGCGACCTTTTCCATGAGGCAATGGACGTCCCGTCTGAACGTGATCTTGTCCACCGTTCTCGTGGGCGGTGTGTCTTGGCCGCCCTGTTCGCCATGGGCGGCAGCCTCCTCTTGATGTGGCCCTGGACCACGCCTTCGTCCAGAACGAGGGCGAACGTTGCTGCAATTGTCGCCGTAGTATTGTCGACACACGCACAAGATGCGCCGATTCTTCACAGTCCTGCTGCAATTCTGACATTTCCGTGTGGCCTGGTGTTGCTGGCGCCTGCCACCCATGAAAACATGGTGGCAATCTGCCAACCTCACGTATGCCTGAGGTACAGCTGCCGGAAGCCGTGTTTGATGGCGCTTGGCCCTCGCCCTGCGATGCCAAGCTGGTTCGGAGAGACCTTGATTGATTAAAGGTCGGGCGCGGGGCCTCTGGGGCGCAAGCTAAGGTTGCTGGCCACACCAGAAAGGAGATGTGACAGGAAGCGTGACAGTATCGGATGTGTCCTGTAGGGATCTGAGGCCTAACCCTCACCTCCTCTTCCTCCTCCTCCTCCCCATCAATCCTCTCTCCCTCTGCTCCGCCTCCTCCTCCTCCTGCTCCTCCTCCTCCTCCTCCTCCTCTTGCTTCTCCTCCTCCTCCCTTTCCTCCTCCTCCTCCTCCTCCTCCTCCTCCTCCTCCTCCCCCTCAATCCTCCCTCCCTCTGCTCCTCCTCATCCTCCTCCTCCTCCCCCTGCTCCTCCTCCTCCCCCTCCATCCCCAAGCTCGTCATCACCCGCGTCCTCATCCTCGCTCCTCCTCCCAATCCTAGCTTCCTTCCCGTGAAGGGACAGGAAAGGTACGTACCGATATCACTACCCCCCCGGACCTCTCCTGGCGTGCGTCCTGCAATCCAGCCGTGGCGGTGCGGGCCTCCCAGGAGGCCCAGAACGGCGAAAATGCGGGAACGACGGCAATACCATCACCTCTTGCTCCTCTGACCCTCCTCTTCCTCCTCCTCCTCATCCTCCTCCTCCTCCTCACTCTTGCTCCTCGCTATTTCTCGTGATTCCAGACGGCGGCCGTCCGCCCACGCCAGTCCTGGCGCAGAGCCAATCCTGGGCCCTTGGACCGACGGGCACGCCATCCTGACTATGCCGGGAGGGCGTGCGCACGGGTCCCATATCCGGGAGGAAGGTGAGGGATTTGCGTCTTGAGGGGGGGGAGGGGGACCGAGGGATGGAGGGGAGGAGAAAACGCTGCGCGATCCAATTCGCGAGGCCTTCGCGAGGCTCACGGGCATCGAACGAGGATAAGGTAAAAACCGATCCCATTAGCATTCGGGAGAAGATGGGGCAACTGGATCATGTATGATCTAGGGCTCTGGTCCCCCCTCCTCCCATGCTAATGGGATTGTCCCCTCCCATTTGGATGGGTTCCCACCCCCCCTCCCCTGTGGTCGTGGCCCTGTAGGCGTGGCGTCGTCGTCGTCGTCATCGTTGTCGTCGTCGTCATTGTCGTCGTCGTCGACGTCGTCGTCGTCGACCTCTTCCTGGTCGTCGTCGTCTTCGTGGTCGTCGTCGTAGTCGTGCTCGTCGTCGTCGTAGTCGTCGTCGTCGTCGCCGTCGTGGTCGTCGTGGTCGACGCCGACGCCGCCACTATCACCGCCGCCGCAAGCCGCCGCCGCCGTCGTCGTTGTCGTCGTCGTCCTGCACGTGGACGTGGACGTCGCCATCGTCGTCGTCGTCGTCGACCGTACTCGTTGTCGTTGTCGTCCATTCGACCGTCTGTCTGTCAGTCCGTCCGTCCATCGTCGTCGTCGGACGTCGACATTGTCGTGGTCATCGTCGTCTGTCCGTCCGTCCGTCCGTCGGTCGGTCGGTCGGTCGGTCGTCGTCGTCGCCCCCTTTCTTTCCCATCTGGGGAGGGCCTATGAATCCTGGGTATCATCCCATCTGTGGGGGGGGGGAGGGGGCGAACCCTCTACCCTGGACCACATATGCTGTTCCATTCAGGGTTCGTGGGATCTATCCCCACCTGGGAGGATGGGCTGGCGGGGCTGAGATACTATGGCCCAGTGGGGATGGGGATCGAGTAGCCGATGCTGAATCAATCTGCAACGGAAGGGCAATAATGGATGGGGGAGGGAGGGAGGCAGAGGGAGCGAGAGCGGGGAGGCAGGGAGGAATTGTTAGGAATAAAAAACAGAGGACAGTGGACATGGGCAGGGGGGAGGGAGTGGATGGGATGCAGGCGGAGGGGGTGGTAGGGAGGTGCTGGCAGGGGGAGGGTGGGGGAGTAAGGGCAGGAAGGGGAAGGAGGGTGAGGCAGGAGGGACGGGAGGCAGGGAGGCAGGCGGGGGCGCGCGAAGTAGATACAGAAGGGAGCCGGTGAAAGACGAGGGGAGAACGGGGAAGGGGGCGGTGGGGGTGGGCCGAGGCAGCCCGGCCCTCAGAGGCCGCGGTGCCCGTGCCCGGCGCCACCGCCGCTCCTGGAGGGGAGGCCGAGGGGAAGAGAAGGCAGGAGGGAGGGGGAAACGAGGATGAGGAGGGGATTTCCAGAACTTCCGCCATCACATTGTGACCGACGAGGAGGGAGAGGAGAGGGAAGGGGGAAGAGGGGGAGGGACGAAGCGAAGAGGGGGGGGTTAGAAGCGAGGAAGAGGGGGGGAGGAGAGAAGACGAGGGGGCGGGGCAGGAGGGGGAAGAAGCGGGGAGGGAGGAATTGGGGGACAGGAGGAGCACACCGTTTTTGCTTGGACGGCACCGTCTAAGACATCGGGTACCATCAGCACCGATGCACGACTGGTGGGCTCTTCCAGAATCCACCTGTGCCTATAACAGCGGAATGACTTCGTTAAAACTCCTCAGGCGCCTTCTCGTCGTCTCCTCATCGACCTTCGCCTCCTCCTGCTCCTCATCATCATCATCATCAATTCCCATGCTCTCCCCACCACGCGCAGGGAATGGAGGCTGAGGCGAAGGTGACTCGAACTATGAGCGTGCAGTCTTTCAAATCTGGCCTGCTCTCACCAAGCGCGAAACGTTGACTATGCCTAATTATGCCTGTGAATCTCCCGCGGTGCCTAAATCAGCGGGTGCCCCTTTCGAAAGACCGGGGGGGGGGGGGACCAGGGCTCGCTGGGACGGATTGGCTGCTAAGGTGCAGGACGACTCAAACATCTCACCACGCCTGATTCCATAAAAACACTTCATACCCGCAAAGGTCGTGCTTAAACCAGAGGGCGAAGCGGGCCAACAAGTTGGTTACGGGGTGGCAGCAAGGGAAAAACTGGAAGCGGCGATCAAAGTAGTGAAGGCCCCTGGGAACTCCCCAGGGCCCATGAATGCACCCTGAACGCCAACCGAGGCCGCCAGGGGAGAAGCCTTTGGAGGGCATTGCTAGAGCCCCTGGAGGCCTCAAAGGACTCATGGGAGACGACCTGGTGGCACCCAGCAACTTCTAGAAGTACTTCATGCTCCGAGTGGTCCTGGAGGCCCCTGCATTCAACGCGGAGGCCCCCACATGCCATCCCGCCCGACGCAGCTTTCTGGCATGCCCATGGCGCTCCAGCCTACTTCCCAACGCGATTCCCCTCCGCTCCATCCCACCCAAGCCCTGAGCAAGACAGCCACCTCCCGCCACCCCACGTGACCCAAACACACGGTCTCACTGAACAACTGCGAGAATACGCTCGGCAATCACGGAACAGCTGACTGGGGCTCACAGCTTGAAGGATGTCTGCGGCCAGGCGAGCCCCCCGCGGGAGTGTCCGACACCCCATCGTCGAGTTGACCAGCAGGGGTAGGGTTCGAACGTGGTCGAATCATCCGCAAATGCTACAATCCTCGGGCAGATACGGGCATCACCGCGAGCATCTCGTGCGCATCGCCTGATCGTCCCCTGATCAGCTCGATAGCAACCCCCGATGGCGGATCCCGACGCACCCCCCCGACTGGGTCCTCGTGCGGGCTCGTCCGGGATAGTAGACGTCGTCGGCGAAACGGTCCTCGATAAGACTGCCTCCTCCTCCTCCTCCTCCTGCTCCTCCTCCTGGTCATCCCTTCCCTGTCTCCTCCTGCCCCTCCTCCCAAGTACATATATCGCTGCTCTTCGTCTCCCCATGATGCTGTCCAGTGCTGCCGTCGCCTCCCTCGCCCGGTGTTCTCGCACACCAGGGTTCAGTCGTTGCATGTCCTGTGCTTTGTAGATCAGAACGCTCGTGGCCGATCAGACATAGGGGCACACCCTTCCTGTCCCCTCCTCCCCCCCCTGATTCTCAAGATTATCGTGCTGCTTCTGCTGCTCCTCCTCATCCTCCTTCTTCTTCTTCATCATCATCACCATCAGCACCATCGCCATCATCATCATCATCATCATCATCATCATCATCATCATCATCATCATCATCATCATCATCATCATCATCATCATCATCATCATCATCATCATCAGCATCAGCATCAGCATCAGCATCAGCATCAGCATCAGCATCATCATCATCATCATCATCATCATCATCATCATCATCATCATCATCATCATCATCATCATCATCATCATCATCATCATCTGCATCATCTGCATCATCTGCATCATCATCAATTTCGTTCTGCTTCTGATCCTCATGCTTCTCCGCCGCCCCGTCTCTCTCTAATCTACAAAACCTCCGCCCTCCCCCTTCTGTTGCGCACGATGGGGCACATTGGGGAGCAACGTCCTCTTGGACAACCCAGCCGGCACTCATGTGTGTTTGCGGGTCGACGCTTCCCCCCCCCCTGAGCCTGTCCCCCACCAGCCCACACCTCCAACGTAACGATGTTTTGTAAAACGTGACCCCCGAGGGCTCTGGACCCCTTCCTTGGGACCAATACTTCATCCTTGGTCGCTGTTTGACGGTCCCAGGCTGGGTGAGGACCCCGTGACGTCGAAAATTGCCTCAAACCCTCCATCGTGAGTTTGTCACGACGCGAGGGGGTTTTGGGAAAGTTGTCCACTCGTGTTGTTCAATTTTCGATCGTACCGATGACCCTGGCCCCTGCCCCTAATGTTGCCCTTTTTGGGGGGCATATCTCTGCCGTTCGGGACGATCTGAACACCCACGCAACGCTCCTGGCGAGGCGCAGTTTCTCGAGAGCAGCTCGAGGCTGGGAAACCACCGAAAACCGACGATGACGGCCGACCTCCTCTGGAACCTACCGCCCCCCCTGCTAACGCAACTCGGAGGAAGGCCGGGTGCGACGACGGCGGCGGTCCCCTCCCCGCACCCTTCCGGGGGTCCACTGTGCCCGTTTGCCGAGGCGGATCCAGCCGCGGCGACGAGAAGCCACCTGGAGGCTTAGAACATATGAAGAACGCAAAGGAGGGCCGCCATGGGCCGCCGCTGTTTCGACGGGCCCCCCCTCTGACGAACGTTGCCCCTGAGGCCCGCGGGACTGCGTCCTCGACGAGGCTGCCACCCTGCAACACCTGGCCCCTGGCGGGGCAGGCGGGCGGGTCCCGGCCGAGCTGCGGCGCCATGCCGTGGTACCTCGGAAAGGATGGGGCTCGCAGCGGCCACCAGAGCTGCGTGCCGCCTCCCTCTGCTCCTCCTTCCCCTAGTGATTAGAAGGAGAACGTTGGCATGGAAATGGTGAGTTCGCGAAGCGAAGAACCGAATTAAGGTGGAACAAGACCTCTGGCTCCTTGCTCCGGCAACGAGAGGGCCTTAGGCCAGAGCCCACCACCAATCCTGGTTAAATACTCCTTGCTGGTCTTATCGAGCCGCGTCGAGCATGGCGGCCCGAGGTTCTTACGCTGCTGGGAGGCGAAATACACGCAAGCGACACAAAACCACAGCCCCAAACCACGATGAAACCTAAGGTTACGTGTGGAGCGCAACCACCCCACCGCACAGTGGACCTTGAAACCTCTTCGGGGCTCTACACAGGGCATCAACTACGGACATTTACCTACTGCAAGGGTACTTCAACCAGTTTTTTAGTTTGTCTCCCGATGCAACGCCGTGGCGCACGCTGCAGGAGCGACCATTGTCCTTCAAAGAACACTCCGAACCAAACCTGGCGACCGTGGCAGGGGCAGGCGGAATGTGGCGAGGACCTTTTTCGATCTCATTCCTCGGCCGCGGGTCGGCCGCAACGCAGTCCATCGTGGCGCGCAGCAAACGTCTCCGCGCCAATTCTGCCCGTTGCTCATGCTGTTCCACTCGGTGATCTTGCCCCACTCGAGTTCCACTTTCTCTTTCTCCAACCAGATAATCCGCGCGCTCGCTACCGCGAAACATCAAAATAACGATACCCTTTCCTAAGGCATCCTCCTCAGAGCGATGTGAATTCATGAAAGTGTACCGTGGCCTTTCTTGCGCCTCGAGCCCCCTTCATCATGCAACCGATGCGCCTCCATGCATCAAATTTGATCGCTGCTTCACGGGGCGTAAGAAACACGCGCGCAGCAAACGATTTCTGCGCCGCCTCACTGTCCGTGACGTAGATCAGCGGCCCTCGGGATCGCCGGGGAACATGTCCGACAACTGCGAGCTCCCATCGGTAGACAATATGCCGTCTGCCTGGCAAAGGACTCATTCCTCCTCGACTCAACTTCACATGCTCCATTTCATCAACGAGAGTAGCGCCCATTCCCACACGACGGAATCTTGGCTTGCGCGCGTCCGCACGTCCAGACGCATCTCCACATGCAAGCACTGGCCGCCCTTCTCCACCAATGACAACATATATTGCTCCATGACCCTCAAACTGGGAATCGGTGAAAGTCTATTTTTTGTTGCCACTGGCGCTGGAACTGCAGCCCTGCGGGATGACTCCGCGAAACTAGAAACATTCAAATTGTTGATGCTGCGACGCCGCTTCACCCAAGTAACAATCGTCTCGCGCGTGCGCCTGGTGTCCTTGGTTCTGCGGGCGCGTCCAGCGTCTGCGGAGCAGGGTCTCTCGCTGTCTCTCTCCTTTGCTCAGACATCGAAAACGCACCTGTTGCTCCTCATCAGTGCCTTCAAGACGTGCCCTCGGCTATGTGCCTCCCGCTGCTATCGCCAGCCTGGAATCGGCCCTAGGCGCGCCCGTGGAAACACCCTGAAGTCGCATTAACATGAATCGCAACGATGCGCTGTCAATGCCCTTCTCCATTTCGCCCCCGCGCTATGCGTTGCCGCTTCGCGCCGCAAGTTCCGATGGATAGATTCCGCCACGTCGTGCAGGTTTTCTATGTATGAAAAACCTCTTGTCTCGTCAAGTGCCGATCCGAGATGTGCAATTCGATGTCAATCTGGCTGGGGTCGTCGGAGTCGCGCAGCTGCCAGCGCGATGGGCTGGGGGGCCCCCGCCCATGCTGAATCAGAAGATTTGCAAGTGCGCTCAACGGCCCTTTGATGCGTCTCGCACGTTCAGAAGGTTGCATCACTGACAGCTTGGACGCAACACTATTCCACACTCCATGCGCTGCTGGCCGCAATTCCTGGGCAGAGGTGCATGGGCGAAACCACTCGAAGGCACATTCCCACCCCAGTAGCACTGCAGGAACCTGCTCGGGCGCTCGGATGTCCAGCGTCGCCGCGAGGCAGCGCCCCCTGTGAGCAGATCCACGCGCAGACCCCAAGCGCCGTTGTATTCAACGCAAGCTGGCCTCGAATGTACCATGTACAGAACGCTCATAATGCGCAACTGCCTGGCCTGCAACTGTTTCGATCTTCGCCGTAACAAAATACTGCCGGCTGGCTCTTCACTTGGAAATGCGCCGCCGTGTCCGAGATCCAGCCTCGATGATACGCCGCCCCCGCGCTGCCCCCGCCATGCGCTTGCCTCCGGCGGGGCCCACGCCGAAGTGGGCCGCCTGCAGCGCAAGTTTGAGATGGAACCCTCGTTGGCGCAGCACGGCGGTGATCTGACTATCTTTACTATGTTTGGCCGCCAGCAGAACACTCTTGCTAGCCGCTGGAATATTCTCCCCTACCAACAGATTGAACGTGTCCGCGACTCCTTTGATCATCGTTCGGTTCACCTGCTTCTCTGATCCAGTGACTCGGTCTACTGCCGCCTTTTTGGGCGCGGCACTCCCCGATTGAAACTTGCCGCGGCCATGCGATCGCTTCTTCAAGCTGCATAAACAACTCAACTAATTCATGCCGAATTGCAGTGGGGAGCCGTTGAACGTCAAGAGGAATCAGTCGGTCAGCCCCTAGCCCCGCTCGAGGCAACATTTGACTGACTGCTCTGTCCAACATCTCCAAGGTAATACCGCTTGTGCTGGCCAGCTTTGTGATCAACGAAGTCCACTGGATGAAAAGAACACCTCCCCATCCTTGAGCGTGACTTCCTCCGACGGAAGAAAGGCATCACGTAGACTACGAAGCACCACTCATGATGCCTGCGTCGCAAACAACCACTCTCGAAACTCCTTCAAGCTGTCGGAAACTGCTCTGCGATGCGCCCGTCGTGAAGTCATCAAAGCTGATGCCTCCAAGTACTCCAGGATGCCCAACGTCGCCTGGCTGACTATGGGTAAACAAAACCTACCAGCGTCTCCCACGATGGACCGGCACTGCGCAAGATTCACGCCACCCCCGCAGGATAGTCCGCGCCCAAACGCCAACTCGCGTGGACTAGCAAGGCCTGCTGGCGGGCACCGTTGTCTCGCCTCCGTTGATGAATATACCGCTGAATAGCCGTGTGAACTTGACTCCACCAGCTGGCAACTCTGTCGCGCACTGGTGACATCCGAAACTTGTTAGGATAATGTAGGTGCGTGATCTCTTGGTTGGGGCCCTTCGCCCTCCCCACGGAGGCCGTTCGTGAAATGGGTCCTTCCTGAGACTGATCGTGATGCGCGAAAACCGACTGCTCCACCGCAGTGATCCACAAAGGATATGCGCAGCTGACCTCATGGACTGGCTTGGGCCCAGCAACCGACATGGTTAAGGACTGCTCGATGGGGCGCCAGATCTTCTCACCCTGTCTAGCCTCCCCAGAGACCTTCGCCCTCACGGTCAGCCAGGTCGACTCAGGGATAAAAAAGGCTATGTTATATGCGGCCACAAGGGGCTCGTGCTTAAAGGGCGACACTTGGGGGTCCTCCAAACTCTGTGCGATTCGGAAGGTGGGTTGGATCTGCACCTCCGCACTGCTCACTACTGCCACTGAATCCTCTGTTGGAGGAGGGGGCGAACTTGATGAGTGAAACGAGGGAGCGGGGGACCAGGTCCAAATTTGCCTTCTTGGGCACATGGGTCTTCCTCCTCTTCTCCAAAGGGGTCCCCAACAAACGGCTCGCAAAAATCATCCAGATCGGCTTCCCCTAGAGATCCCCCCCTTCGGCCTCATCGCCGTCGGTCAGCTCCTCCCAAAAAAAGGACTAATAGACACGAGACTGTTCAATGTGTGCTGCCTGCCTGAGATCGTTTTCGACCGCCCGATGCAGCGAAGCCTTCCAGCAAAGCGTGCGTTCCACCTTGGGTCTTGCTACCTGCGGCAAACGGCCAAGAAGATCGATCAATCGAAGCAGGAGCTGTGATCCCGCTCTCCTGAGGCGAAGCTGGAAACCGATGTGCGTTTTCCATGGCACATGCACCACTTGTGCGACACTGAGCAATTACGGTAATCAACACTGGCTGGCAACAACATAGCCAATGAGCAAACCTGGCCACCCCGATGTGCATGCATGTGCTGACTAGATCTCCTGTAAATTTTCGACCCCCAATGGAGGTGATGAAACCTGTCTTGGCTAGGACATTAACAGGAAAGTTAAAGTCTCCTACTATCACCCATGGCAACTGCAACGCTCTGACGAGCGACCCAAGCTTGTGAAAGCGAACCAAGCTGGACCCTGCCATTCCTATCGACGATAGGCCACAAGGCTACTATGATGACGAGACTGACCCCTTGCGAATGCACAGCACTAACACCGAAGCCGTCGGCGGACGTCCCGTCACCCGCCTTCCAGAATGCTGCGCTGCTGCCGTCGTCGTCGTCATTGACATCATCATCAGCATCATCATCATCATCATCATCACCATCATCATCATCATCATCATCAGCATCATCACCATCACCATCATCATCATCATCACCTTTGCCATCTTCATCATCTTCATCATCATCATCATCATCAGCATCATCATCGTCAGCAACATTATCATCATCAGCATCGTCATCATCATCATCATCATCACCACCACCACCAACACACCACCAACACCAGCAGCATCATCATCATCAGCATCGTCATCATCATAATCGTCATCATCGTCATCATAATCAACTTCGTCATCATCATCATCACCATCAGCATCATCATCATCCTCCGCATCACCATCATCATCAGCATCATTACCATTATCAGCACCATCATCAGCATCATCATCGTCATCATCATTGTCGTCATCCGCAAGATCATCAGCATGATCAGCATCATGGTCATCATCATCATCAGAATCACCATCATGATCACCATCACCATCATCATCATCATAATCACCATCACCATCATCATCATCATCAGCATCGCCACCACTACCACCTCCACGCCCACATCAGCCATCATGATCATAAGCAGCAACCGCAGCATCATCGTCATCATCATCATCAGCAGCATCATCATCATCATTCAGCATCGTCGTGCTCATCATCATGACCATCACCATGGTCAGGATTATAACCAGAATCATCAGCCGCCTCATCATCAGCAAACCTATCATCATCTAGTCACATGTGCAACATTCCCATCAGCATCAGATTCATCATCATCGTCAGCATGATCCGATTCTTCACCATCATCATAGAAAGCGCCATAAACAGCCACTTCATCATCATCATCATCATCATCAGCACCAGCATCATCGTCATGACCAGCAACAACACAAGCATCATCATCGTCATGACCATCATCAGTATCATCGTATGCATCGACATCATCAGCATCCACATTAGCACCATCTCCATCTCTATCACAATCCACACCATCAGCATCATCAGCATCATCACAAACACCATCACCATCATCACCATCACAATCATCATTCTGATCATCATCAGCGTCATCATCATCGCCATCGTCATCACCATCACCATCATCAACTCCATCATCATCATCATCCTTATCCTCATCAACATCAACAGCCTCATCACCATCACCATCACCATCACCATCACCATCATCATCGCCATCATCTCTGTCATCATCCTCATCATCATCACCATCCTCACCATCATCATTATCAGCATCATCATCACCACCGTCATCATCATCCTCATCATCAGCATCATCGCCATCATCCTCATCAGCATCGTCATCGCCGACAGCAACAACATTATCGTCAACAACAATACCCTCATCAACATGACCATCCGCCTCCTCCTTCCTCATACTCCTCCTGCTCATCATCAGCATCAGCATCGGCATCACCATGATCATCACCACCACACCACCATCATCATCACCACCATCATCATCATCAGCATCATCAGCAGCTTCTTTATCATCACCAGCATCACCATAACCATCACCATCACCATCATCATCATCATCATCATCATCAACATCATCATCATCATCATCATGATCATCATCAACATCATATCTCGTGCTGCCGTTGCTGCTCAGCCTTCGGCGGGCGCACAGTAGCATCTGCCTCCTCCTCCTCCTCCTCCTCCTCCTCCTCCTCCTCCTCCTCTTCTCTCTCATCATCCTCCTCATTCCCTTTATCACTCCTTGTAATCATGGTGTTTCTCTACCCGCACCCATTTCTCAGGTGCGGGGGAGGAGGAACATGGGATGAGGAGGAGAGAGGGAAAGGCGGAGGGAGGGAGAAGGGGATTTAAAAACAAGAGGAGCTAGGAGCAGGAGGGGAAGCAGGAAGGGTCGGGGTAGCTAGAGGAGGGGGAGCAGAGGGAGAAGGAGGAGGTGGAACAGGAAGAGGAAGATGGACGGAGGGATGAAAAACGGAGGAAGACCAAGGAGACGAGGAGGAACACGAGGTGGAGGAGGGAGAGAAACACGATCAGGAGGCGCGGCGAAGGAGAACAAAAAAAAGGAGTATGGACAAGACTGTATTGCAGGACGACGAGCAGGCACCGCGCCGTGCTGCCCCACGAGCTCGAGCGCCAAAGCTCCCCTGTGCTCCGCCCCGCGCTGCCCGAAGACGCCGCCGCGGCGGGGCCCCTCCACAGCCGCACCGGCCTGCCCAGCGACTCCGCGGCCGAGGCGGCGAAAGCGCGGCAGTCTGGGCTGCCCCAGGCGCGGCCCTGGCCAGCATCCCGCGAGTTCAAGCCCGCGGCCAGCTGGCTCCTGCTCCTCGCCGTCGCCGTCGCCGTCGCCATCGCCATCGTTTTCGTTGTCGCCGTCGTCGTCGGTGCGATCGTCGTCATCGTAAGCCTCGTAATCGTCATCGTCGTCGAAATCGTCGAAGTCGTCGTCGCAATCGTCGTCGAAAACGTCGAGGTCGTGCAGATTGTCAAGGTCGACAATGTTGTCGTCGTGTTCCTCCTCTTTCCCGTCGACGGAAAAATTGCGGCCCTTGTCGTCGGAGGGGCCACAGGGCAAGAATGAGGAGGATGAGCAGAACGGTGGGGTAGAGCAGCAGCGGGATGGAGACTGAACAAGGGCATGTTTCGGGGAGACGTAAGACCTGGGTACGGGGGACTCGGAAATCCCCGACGAGGTCGTCAAAAGAATGACGAGGCCCAGCCTGCATTTTGACGAGGCCTCCCGCTGCAGACATCCCACAAAACTCCTCCTCGTCAAAATCCGAATCGCGGTCGTCAAAAAACGATGGCGAACCCGAGTCCTGGCAAACCCGGGTCTTACGCTCCCCCGAATGTTATCCGTTTTCCACACGCTCACAATTCACACGTGATCACGCTGGACCCGCACGCGCCCCAAGGGCCTACGTGGGGAGAGGGGGCCCAGGAGCGCCCGCGGTCCCACATCGACGGATCCGACGCACGGGCTTCGCGGTAGCCCGACCAGGACGCCCGCAAGAGAGTCACCCCAGCTGCAAAAAAAACACGTGGGCCGCACACGCAGGCGAAACCCATGGACACACGACGTGGCCACATGCAGCAATTCCCTCCCTGGTATACTGTGAAACGCTGCCCCCACAAGCGCACTCACGACACTGCAGAACCACGTGTCCCCCGCGGGAACCCCGAGGGCCCGGCACCACAAAGCCCGCAAGGGGCCCACGACGACGCCCCCCGAGAGCCCAGGGCACGCCGGCCCCAAGGCCGTCGCATCCCGTCGAAGCTCCCCGGGACCAACAGGCAACACGGGGGACAACAACAAACATGGAGCGGACGTTCGCAAAAAGTGGTTTGAAGGGTGGGGAGACTGACGCTCCTATAACGCGGAGAAAACAATCGAACGGCCAACTTTTCAACGGCGATTCGTAGTACCCCGCAATCGCGGATAAGAGTGGGGGCGGCTGGGACGTCGGCACTCTGCGAGGCTCTGGAGAAGCCCCCAGCAGCCGCGCAATGTTCGCACATAGTGCAAAACGCCCGCCGCAGGCGCATACTTTTCGTGAAAGCACCGCGGGTCGCGGGGGGGGGGGGGGCGACGCCAAACAACAAAGAAACAAACAAACAAACAACCAATTAATCAATCAATCAACCAAATCAAACTAACAATCACACTCACAAACAACAACAATGGCAACGACAAAAAACCGCGTCGCGAAGCCCCACCTCAGCCACGCACCGAGAGGCAGTGGATGACTGTTCGCCCCCCATCACTCTGACAAGTAGGCACACGAATCTGTGATGCCCCAGAAACGCGTCCTCTCTAGGTCATAGTCCAGCATGGCGTGGCGTCACGAAAAGAAAAATAATCACACAGCTAACTCACGCAAAGAGGCTGAGATCCTCGCAACAACTCCTGCACGCTGACTGAGCGCTCTTTGACAGCGCGGGTCAGGTGCCTGCTGGCACGAGACGGCCAGCCTGTCATTGATTTAGATGCGGACTGCCCGAGGGTCATTCCGCAGCCCCTCCGCGCCTCAAGATGCAAGGCCTGAGCTCGAGGCGCGCGAAACCCAAGGGGGGGCGCGCCTGCTCGAACAGGCCGCGGCAGTCGTAGCCAGCGCCCTGCAAGAGCCGAGCACCGAGGCCTCTCGCGGACTGAGGGCTCAGAAGGCCCGTCCAATGAGCGGGTCGTCGACCGCGGCGATATCACGCACGCGGCATCGCACGCCGCCAGCAACAAGGCCACTGTGCCAGGGCCTACAGCTACGCGTTCGCACGCCGTCGCGAACATTTCACCTGTCCGCAGGAGGCAGGTGGGGGGCAACGGCGCGGGCGACCGCTGAACCAGAAACCATCGACTGATGGCGAGCATAATCCCGGCACCCAGCCCGGCGCGCGACGCCGCCCCAGGCGGCCGGAAAGATGCGCCCGTGTCCAATGCAGCACTGCGCAGCCCTGAGAGCGTCGCCTGCCCATTCTCCGAGGCACGACCTTCTGATTTGCTGCCCCAGGCGTCGGCCGGTTTACCGCTGCCCCGAAAGAGCGCGAGGACGGGCGCGCTGCCCGAAGCCAGCCGCAAGGGCGCCACTTTGCGGGCGACTTGACTCAGCCGCGCGCTGCCCGAGCGTTCTACTCGCACGGCGGGGCGCTCGGCGACCTTAGGTGACCAACTTGCAGCCGATGTTCTTCTCTGCGCGAAGACACCGCCTCATCGCCGGACAGAGAACAATCTACGTCAGTTCGATTAGCCAACTCCCGACAACTGCAATGCACCACTGTCCTCCGGCGCCACCCATTCGGGTTGGCCGGCCGGCGTGGCTGGCCCGGGCGGATGGCGAGCTGGCTCGCGGAGATCCCGGCGACTCCGCCCCTGGCGCTGGCGGGCCGCGATGCGTCGCGAACCAGGGCCTGTTCGGGGGCGAGGTCTCGAGTGGAGCATGTCCCGCAGCTGCTCGCGCAAGGCCCCTCGGCGCAGCTCCTGAGCTTGCCCGCGGACGGCGGGCCGACGAGGTGACCCCGCACGGTGGCTGGGTGCCCGAAGAGCCGCGCCACCACCTCCACGTGGCACGCCTTGCCAGGGGCTCGTCGGCTCGGCCAGCTGCGCGTCGCTCTCGAACGCACAAGGTGGCCGCCGTTTGAGTTTGACCATCGCCAGAACCCATCAGCACCTCGCGCTCTTCGGCCATGGGGGGGCTGGCGCTAGCCCTCAACGCGGGCGCGGCGCTGCTCGAAGTGCTGGCGCGGCGGGGGGCTGAATCCATCAAATGCCCTGCGCCCCAGCGAGGCGTTGCCGCGTTGGCTGACGCCCGCAGACAATGGCCTGGGCACCTCCCCCCAGCTCGGCGCGCGCCCAGTTCGGCCCCCGCATGCCGCGCCCAGGTCGGCCCCCGCAGGCCGCGACGTCCTGGAAGACAGCCACCTCGACAAGAGGCCAGGATCCGTGCCCACCTTGACCTTCAGCCAGGGACCCTGCTCCACCAGCGCGAGGTCGCGGGCAGCGCCCCCAGCTGTTCGGGCGCGGCGCCGACGTCGCCCTTCTCGGCCGAGTCCGCGCACCCGACCAGAATCTCGTCGCCCCGCGACCCGAACGCATCGACTGGGACATGCGCGCAACATCGCCGATGAACCGCGACCAGGCGTCCGCGGAACCCTTCCTGCCAACATTAAGCCCGCTCAGCCCCTGGCTGCGACAGCGACCTGCCTGGGTCGCGGCGGGCACCTCCTTGGCGATCTTGCTGATGTCACCGAGCTCCTTCGCCGACGGGCACGCATCCCTCGCGACGCGGCGCGCGGCGAGGTCGATCTCCGACGACGCGGGCCACGGGGTCTCGAAGCCCAGCTGGGAACAGCTCAGAAACGCCCCGCCGATGCCGTCGGACAGACTGAGGATCGCGACCTCGCCCTCGCTCGCTTGCCGCGCCGCCCGGCCAATCCCCCCGAGCGCAACTTCACTCGCGCCCGACGCCATCCGCGCCGGCATCCGCCCGAGGCGCGCCAGGAGACGCATGGGGGCCAATGTCAGCGCAATACAGCGGCGCAGGCAAGATGGCCAGGAAGAGCTCGCCGAGCACGCCCGGCGGGATGGCCCGAGCACGCCGAGCACGCGCGCCCTCGAGACAGGCAGCGCACCCGCGCTGGTAACTGAAAACGCGGATGCAACGGCCCAGGGCGCTAGTGCGTGGGCGCCAGGGCTGCCCAGCACCCGCTGAGCAATAGAGATCAGCTGGAGCGCGCAACTCCATGGGCGTCACCCCCCCGCCGAGGCCCCCGTCGACGCGGTCGAACGGCGCCCGCGCCCGGGCCGCCATCAGCACGCCCTTCGCCGGGGCGCCAGACGCATGCCAGGGCGCCGGGGGGCGGGCCAAGAAGCCCGCGCACGCCTCAGGCAATTCAGGGCGGCCAACGCACTGGGCGCAATATGCCAGAGACACGCGCGGGATCGCCTCGATCTGCGCGAAAATTCAGCAAAGGTCGCGCGGGCGCCCTCGCGCCGACATGGCCGAACGCGCCAAGAAGAAGGGCGCCAGACGGACGCCCCGCGCGGCTCGAAACTCGCCCCGCGAACGCGCCCATCGGCCAAAAAAGTGATCCAAAATGGCAAAGGCAGCGGATGCGGCCCATGGCTTTAACAGCAATGCCGGCGGGGCGAGATACTGGCAAACTCAAGTAGCGCTGACGCGCGCGGGAAAACGGGGACGAGGCGGAGCGCTCGCAACGTCGTGGAGTCGTATACATGGCATCTGGGTGCAATCGCAGATCCACTTTCCTGGAACATTCGATGCGTCGGTTGGCTTGACCCGGCCCGGGAAAATACGCGACTGCGCCGCGAAGATTCGTATTTGCATCCACGCGGCGTGGAATCTCGCGCGGCGATCGCACAATTTCGCGCGACCCTGACGTCGTCGTTCTGGCTCTGGGCAACCTTCCACTTTGTGCTAACGCCCCCGCGCATATACAATGGCGCGCGGCGCCCGGCGATTCTTGCGGGGCCATGTCTGGTTATGCGTTGGTTATAAATCGGCGACTTGTTTGGCGAATGGGCGGTTAAATCCTGGATGTTCTGGCTATTCATGCGGCACTGTTTGGTCATGTGCTTGATATTGTCACAGTGGTCTCGCACATCGCGCACGTTCGGTTCCGACTATGACTTCAATTGATAGGCACACCCCCGACCATAGAGCCTTTTTTCAGGAGACAAACCGTTTTTTCTGATGCCCAAGAGGGCTGGATTTCTTGTTTTACCAACTTAGGTTTCTGGCTTGTGTTCAAGGCCATCTCCGCTACCATGAAAACCCAGACAGACGCATATAGCGGTCGACTGAGGCACTCGAA